ATTCCATAAAATATGTAATCCATCTTAATTCACAAATAAAGATTATATATTAGTAGAAATTAAATTTTGCAACATTTTATCAAAACCAATCATTTACTTTATTAATAAATTCTAATACAACTTCTTTTGGATTATTTAAATTTTTTAGAATTACAAGCATATTTTGATTTTCTCTTATTTTTATCATTCCAATTATAAATATTTCCATCAATCAAGTATGGCTTATATAATTCAAACCCACTTTTCGTAATATTATAAAATCTATCATAAGGTATCCATTCTAATACTTTTGTATTTTCATGAGCTAATAACTGAGTATCTTGAATAAAATCAATATCATCATTACCACTATTCCAATTTTTAAAATTTTGTCGAAAATATGTTACATTACATGTATAATAATAACATTTTTCACATCCATTCAAAACCATCATATAATTATTTGTTTCTGGATTTTGAGTTATTCCATAAAATTCATGATCTATTTTAATCTAATAAATATAATAATTTATCAGTAAAATTAAGAATTTCAAACTTTCATTAAGTAATAAATTAATTATACCTCATTCATAAATTCTAATGCAATATTTTTTAAATTATTTATTCTTTTCAGAGTCACAATCATATTATTATTTCTATTCCAATTTTGATTTTTATCATCCCAATGATTTATATTTCCATCAATCCAATTTGCTCCACATATTTCGTCAAAACTGTTTGTTACAATATTATAAAATCTATCATAAGGTATCCATTCTAATGCTTCTTTTATATTTTCATGAGCTAATAGCTGAGTATATTGAATAAATTTATCAATGTCATCATTACCACTAGTCCAATTTATGAAATTTTGTTGAAAATGTATTGCATCACATACGTAATTACATCTTTTACATTTATCATTCAAAACCGTCATATATTTATTTGTTTCTGGATTTTGGGTTATTCCATGAGATCCATGACTCTGCAAATATAATAGATCATAATACATTAACAAAAATATTGTTTCGAAATTCATTAGATAACAAATTAAATATACCTCATTCATAACTTCCAATTTAATATTTTTTAAATTATTTATTCTTTTCAGAATCACAATCATATTATTAATATTTCTTTTCCAATTTTGATTTTTATCATCCCAATGACTTATATTTCCTTCAATCCAATTTGCTTCATATATTTCGTCAAATCTGCTTTTTGTAATATTATAAAATCCATCGTAAGGTATCCATTCTAATGCTTCTTTTATATTTTCATGAGCTAATAGCTGAGTATCTTGAATAAATTTATCAATATCGCCATTACCACTAGTCCAATTTTCAAAATTTCGCTGAAAATTTATCGTGTTACATGTAAAATTACATTCTTCACATATATTTGATGGCTTAATTAGCTTTTTGGTACTTTTGATAAAAGAATCCATTAAGACTTTTAAAATCACGAATGAATTCAGGCCAATAAAATGACAAAAAAGATGTAAAAAAGCGACTTACTGAAAAAAAAATTTTAACCTAAAAAATAAGAATCATATAAGAACAATACTTACGCGTAATTGTTAGTTGTAACAAACAATGGTGTACGGCAGTAACGGCAGTTGGCCGCAAAACGCCAAAAGGTATGTTTTTGTCTGACAAAAGATTGTCGGACAATGATCAGCTCGGTTTGTAGAACTTGTGCCCATCATGAAGACGTTTGTCACTACACAAGTTACAAAAAATAAACCTTTATTAAATTTGATAAAAGTTATAACAATTCCCGAGTTTCATAATAAAATAGAATTAAATAATGAAATGAAAAATTTAAGAAAGAAAATAAATTCTAAGATCTATTATTATCCTACTAAATTCCACGTAATGTATTTCAAGAAAAATAAAGAACCAATTAAAATATTAATTTCCTTTAAAAAATCTCATATAAATTATTCGCTGCCCCTTCGTCACGATTATGTAGATCACTTTTCAGGTAATTACCAACCAATAAAAATAATTAACCAATAAAATTGAACAACTAGTTTAACGTCACCGCGGACCCAATCCTCTAAATAACAACCAATAAAATAAAATAATAGGACCACAGTAAATTAAAAACATACACTTAAATTAAATATAATACTGCGCCCCAAAATTAATGATTTCAACGCTGATCTTTTCAGCGTTGGATGGCATTTTGTCCAAAACTAAAAATTTTAAATTTTATTAGAAAATTTTTTGTGAATTTTTTTTTTTTCTTTTTTTATTAGAATTTTTTATAAATAAAATTTATTGATAGAGAATTTCTTTTTTAATATGGGTAAAGCTTTTTTATTGAATTTCTTTGGGGAATTTTTTTTTAATAGAAAGATTTTCTACTTTGATAAAAATTTCTGTTAGAAAATTTTTTTATTGATAGAATGATAGGGGAATTTCCTGGGAGTTTTTTTTTAATGAATAATTTCGTTGAAGGATTTTTTTTTGATAGACATTTCATTGGAGAATTTTTTAATAAGATTTCATTTTTGATTAGTATTAGGTTTCGCTAAATCAATTGGTTTATGTGCAACGTTCAAGTCCCTATATAAGTCCAAATAAATTGGGTTATTATTTTAATTTTTTTTGGCAAATAATAAATATTGTTGGAAAAAATTTTTAAAAGGAGAGAATTTTTTTGATAGAGAATTTCGTTAAAGAATTTTAGATCGATGAGTTATTGCGGTTTTCAGAAATGTTGGCATTGATAGATTTTCAATATATTGTATATTTTGTGTTTTTGTGTTTTTCCGGACATTTTTGATGACAATTTCTGGACAATTTCCAGATATTTTCTGGACAAAAAAAAACAAACAAAATATAATTTTTTTCCGGACATTTTCGATGACAATTTCTGGACATTTCCTGGACATTTTCCAGATATTTTCCGGATATTTTACAGACAAAATATTGTATTTTTGTTTTGTATTTTGTGTTCTTTTTTGTCTGGAAAATGTCTGGAAAATATCCGGAAATTGTCATCAAAAATGTCCGGAAAAACACAAAAACACAAAATATACAATATATGGAAAATCTATCAATGCCAACATTTCTGAAAACCGCAATAAACGAATTTTTGAACAAGCAGGTGATAAAATAGTAAGAGTTAAGAGTTATTGTGGCAAATGAAGTGTGTAAGGATTTAAGTGTTAGCGTGTCGGATACGAGTCCAGGAGCGTTAAAGAAGATGCGAGAAAATTATAAACTAATCGGTGAAGAAATCATCCGCATGGCAAAAAACATGAAGTCATCAACGCAAGGAACGAAGAGAAGATTCTGATAGCGAATAAACAAATTTGTCCTAATAAATTAAACAAATTTAAGATCAAGTCTTTGGATTTGCGTTTGGATTTGGTTGAAGTTAACACGCGGACGAAGATGGAATTTCGCCCGATATTTGGATATATTTCCGTCAAGAGCGTAGATTTATGGAATTTTTCTTAATGTTTTAATTTTTTTTTATTATTTTTATTTTGTTTTTCTTTTTATTTACAGCAATATATCAGAAAGTTTAATTTTTTAGTCTAGTCAATTCTTAACGCTTTATTTTAGAGAAAATTTTAGAAAATACAGAAATCATAGGATAATATGAAAAAATTCATAAAAAAATTTAAAAAAGTTTTTAGATTAGTAGCGTTTTTTACACAAAAGATAGATTCTTAAAATTAACAATTTTTATTTTTTAGATTTATCATAGTTATTTTTTAGTCTCTTTAGAATAGATCGGTTAGTTATAGAGGGTAATATAAATTTTTTATATTATTTTCTAGGTATTTGTATAATAATGTATTTTTTTAAATAAGCATAATTATTTAATAAACGCGTTACTAATTTTTTTTTTAAAAAAAAGAACATGAAGTCGTTCAAAAATATACTATGTTGAACGAAGACTTTACCAAGCAAAAGGCTTAAGGATGAAAATAGAGGGAAAGATTTAAAGAGTAAGAGCGAAAAGAGATTACAGAGTAGTCCAATGGACAAGAAAAAGTGGAGGATTTAAAGGAAATGATGGATCGATTGAGAATCGGTAAATGGTTAGTTTGAAGTCACGTGATTTCACGTTATAAATTTTTCAAATTTAACGTTAACACATTTATCTAGTTAGTTTAGTGGATGTGTAATATTTATAGTTCAATAGATAAAATTTTGTCTCAGGATAGTCATCCAAATTTTTATTTCGTTATTTATAATGTAGACTAGTCACAAATTTTAGATTAGTATTGACTAACAAAATATTTTTAGCAGTTGTAAATTTTTTAGTATACGTGAGTATTTCGGATTTTCGGTATCTAAATGTTTTGAAAAAATTTTTTCCATCAGTAATTCCGATTGAATATTAGGATTATTGTGATTTTCATAAAAAAATGTTTCGAATGTTTCGTTACTTGTTATGTGAATTATTTTGCATACCTTAAATTCATAATTTTATTTTGTTTGTCAATTTATTTGATCCTAAATATCTTATAAGTTTCTTAATAATTTTAACGTAAAATTAAATAACAAGAGGTTATTGTAAAAATTTGACAATCTAATCTATTTTTATAAATAAAATAAATTTCTTGACATAGAACGTGTGTACAAATATTTTATTGTCATACTTTCATGAGATGACATGTTGATAAAAGCAAGATTATTCTTTCAACTTGTTTTAATAAATTCATGTATAACGAATGGAATAATCTGTCAAAATTTACGTTAAGACTTAAATTACTTAATTTTCGTCTAAATCAGTCAATATACGGTATTTATACATGTAATAATTTGAATAAATTTATTAGAATAATTTAAATTACAAACTAATACTAATTTTGTAAAACATTTACTATTCTAGTCTTAGTGTTTAAATAATCCATGATAAATAAATAAATAAGTGATAATAATTGAAAATATAAAAAAATAATATTGTTAATTTGATTTATCAAAAAATCCATCTAAAGATAAATAATAACAAATTATAGATTAATTATTTTCTTTATAAAGAAATTTATTTATTTTAAGAACTTACCATCAGGAATTTCCAGTTCATCTTGTTCTTTTGAATGAAGGTTTGGATTATTATATACTTCGTCATCATCTGTAATAGATAAGTAAATAGAATTAAACCGGTATTAAAATCGTTCGTTATTACGTAGAATTTTCACCTACCATCGACATATTTTTGAGTTTTTTCTTTTTCGTCATCTAAATTTTTAAATAAAAGTCACGTTTTAATAAATGAAATTGATATAGTAATTTTATTCGTTAGTAATTTACTTACTATTTGACTTTATTTGCAACTTTTTAAATAATTTAGATAATTTTTTATTACTATCTAAAAATTAAGATATAAAGTTAATATATAAATCAATCTCGATTTGTCAATAATTAAAATATATTACCTCTAAAAATAGTAATTACTTTTGATGATTTGCTACTATTCTGCTCATTTGATTTATTAAAGTCGTTAACTAAAATAAAAATTAATTATTAAACGTCATTATATGATAATTCAACGCTATAATGTTATTAAATACTTACTACTGTTAAAATCATACAATTTACTATGAAACGCTATTAGCAGTAAAATAAAGTATTTAAAACTAAATTATTATAGTAACCAAAAAATGGTAGAAATTATTATTTGTACGGTTATACCTTCTTGTTCTTCTATTATAATAAAAAAGATAACGTTAATAATGTATTTTAAAATAACTGAATATATTCATTAATAAAATATTATACACTTATACCTTCTGTTGCATTTCTTGGTTCATGTAGATTTCCAAAGTTGTGAATTTTACTTGTAAATAATCTGCTACTTGTATAATTTTCTTCTACTTTATTCTTTTCTAAATTATCCATTTCTGATTTGAATAATTCATCTGACATATTTTGATAATATAAATTAATTTTTTCCATTTTTATACAAAGTGTATAAGCGTCAGGTCTTTTTAATGGATTAGCATCCCAACATTCTTTCATTACATTTTTATATTCTAATGGAGTTCCTGGCACAATTTTTGGTCTTATACCGTTAATAATATTCATTACAATATCACTTTCATGTTCATAATTTATAAATGGTGGTTGTCCAGATGAAATTTCCCACATAAGAATTGCAATACTATAAATATCAGATGCAAAAGTATATTCTCCTCCAACAATAACTTCGGGTGCTATGTAAGGAAGATTTCCATATATACTTTCTGATGGTTTATCGGCAGGTCCACAAAATCCAAGATCACTAATACACCAAGAATTATCAAATTGAAGATATAATATATTTCCAGAATGTAAATCTCTATGAATTGCTTTCTCTTTATGAATAAAAAAAAATGCAAAAATTATTTCATAAATAATAATAATTCTATATTTCCATGTAAGTTGATTATGATTTTGTTGTAAATATTTTCTTAAATCTACACTCATTTTATTCATTACAAGCATATAATTTCCATTTGATGGATTTTGCGTTAAACCAAAACATCGAAGAACTCTTGGCCATTTATTACTTATAGTTAAATGTGATTTAGCCTAAAAGATAATAAATTTGTAAAAATACTAGTGTTAATACAACAAATTACAACAATTTTATAAAATATAGAATACAATAATACAAACCTCTTCAAACCAACTTTGATTTGCACTTTCAACATTTTCTAATTTTTTAAGCACTATAGCACGATTTCCAAGTCTCGTTAATTGTTTTTTTTCAGAATCCCATTCATCATAATGTCCATCAATCCAACCTGCTGTATAAATTTCAGAAAATCCACCTTTTGTTAAATATTTAATATCTTCTAAATTACTATATGGGATCCATTCAACTACCATATTTGGCATAAGTGATTCCATTTGACATTTCTGTATTAAATTATCAATATCATCATTTCCAGATGTCCAATTTGAAAATTCTTCTTTTAAATAATTTCGAACACAATATTCACAATATAATGTGGCTAAACATTCTTGCTTACAATTTTCACAAACTCTTTTTGTTCCTGAATTATAGTTAACTTTATCTCGATCATAACTTTTAGTTAACCGTCTTATTGCATAAGTTTTTTCATCATTTGTAAGAATTTTATCATCAAGGACTGTTTGCTTTTGAAATTCAAATTGTTTGTGTATATCATTGTAAATACTAGTATCTATTAATGTTATCGCTCTTTTAATTGTTGCATAAATTAATTCATATCGAAGGGTGGACATAATGAATGAATTATTTTAAGTTCGGTTCACTTGAATTCCGTGATAAATTAGTAAAATGCAAATTGATGATCAAACTTCATTTTGTGCCACATAAACTTGAGGTACCGTAATATTTTACGCCTCATACCCAAAAAAAGAAAATCATTTATCTATTCCAATTTTATTTTTAAAAATTAAATCTCACTTAAAAAATCAATATAAACATGATTGATGAAAAAGCCAATTTTTTTTAGTCATTTTCAGTTGAATTTATTTTAAATAAACAACGTGGTGAATAATTAAAATGAAAGGTTATAAGAAACCATTTAATTCATTATTTTTATGTTTTAAAAAAAAAAAAAATGAAAGAAATCTTTACGTCATAATGTACTTAGGTTTCATGTTACACAATTCAAATTATTTATATGGAGACTATTTTAAACGTCAGTGTAATATATAGACTTACTATTTAAATAACTGTTGATTTAATTACCGGAAAATTATATAGTCAAATATTTATATAACGATTTACTATATTCCATTTAAGATATTTATTTTTTTAACGGTTCAATCTAAAATCTTTTTATTTAATAAAATTCATTTTTAAAAATCTTTTTTTTTAATGAGAAATTTTTTTTATAAAGTCTATGGAAATTTTTTAATAAAATCCATTTGAATTTTTGATATAGATTTTTGTTTGAGAAAATTAATGAGAAATTTTTTGAGAAATTTCTGCATCAAGTAATTGATGCATTCAAAAAAATTTACAAAATTAATTTATTATTGAAAAAGGTGTTTAATTGAAAAATCTTAAAATATTAATAATTTTTGGTATAACAGAAATCGGCAGGTAAAAATGGAGTCTGAAATTTAGAATTTTCATAGGGGAACTGATCATCATGTCCAAAAATTTTAGAACTTGAACAAATGGTGGAAGAGTTTAAAAAAGTATATAAAGTTTACATTTTTAACGCATTTTGACAATATTCACTCCTTTACGAACACGTAGATATAAAATTTCACGTTAGCTAATAGTAGTTTGAAATCTTTCTTTCCAAAAAGTTATCTCGGCTCGTATGCGTTGCCAAAAGTGTAGACCCAAAAAGGGCCAAGGAGGGCTAGGTGTCAGCGCTTAAAAGGAAGAAGTAACAGAAGTTTAGGACTATAAAATAAGATGACTATTAGCTTTTATTTTGAGGATTTTTTGCTCTGGTTTTTTTTCGGTCTTTTGGAATTTTTGCCTTGTTTTTTTTTGATCGGCGCAGCAAAAATTCAGCACGCAGTCAAATTGCCAGGCGTTCATCCTCAGTACCTATGGCAAGTGGTAGTGGTCAAAAGTGCGTAGCAAAACATAGCGTGTACACGCTACAAAACATAGTGTATACACGTTATCTTTTACGGCGGGTTACCCCTGTTCTGTTGGATTAACCTGTCAATTTCGGGGTAACCCGCCATAAAAAACAGCGTGTATATGCTACATAATTTAACATGTATACGCTTTATATTATAACGGTTTATTAATTTATTTTGGACCAAATTTTAAAATTTTCAAGGGATTGAATACCTGCCGCTTCACATATCAGGTACCCGCCGCTTCACAAATCGGGTACCCGCTGCTTCACATAGCGGGTAAACGCTATTTCACATATCGGGTACCCGCCATTTAATTTTTTTTTTAAAAAAATTTTTTTTTTTTTTTTTT